AATTTCACTTCCAAAACTAACCTCTTGCTTTAGGCAAGAAAGACACTGGATAAATCTATACTGTCAAAATAATGCAGTTTGACACTACTTTATGTGCTGTAGCTCCATCCTATGGAGTAGGATGCATAAAGCCACTATCACTACTTCGTGAAAGTCTCTCAATCTCTCTGTCCCTCCTTCTCACACCCACCCACACTTTAGACATCCATCACTTGACTTTTTAAAAAGAAATCTATCTGCAGTGGTGGCCATTGCCTCTGATGTCAGTGAGGTTGATGAATCCACTCCTGGTCGGGGTGATATTCTATTCACCAAAATAAGTCCACCTTGGATAGTTCCTTGAAAGTTCAAATTAATATCTGGAATGGATTAATTACCCCCACTTTCTGCCTCTTGACATGTTCTAAGTGCAATGGCTCTGTGTGTGTGACAAGGAGGCAGAATACTGTGAGTTGGATGTTTTATATAGAGACATCATGTCTTGGTCCTGGATGAGCAAAAAGTGGTGTTTCTGATATCTGCCCAGCCAACCTAACTGGAAAAAAATCAAAATGTAAAACCATGAAACTCTTGTCCCAAGATGATTACAATTAGATAGGTGTCTCACTGATATTTCTGCATGCAGGCCAATGCAAAACCAAGGCCATGCAAATAGATGTTGGGGCTGGTTATGTATATATCAACTGTTCTCCTATGACCTTGCTTCAGAAAGAAAACTTATCACAGAGTAAATTGGAGAAGAAAAAAGGAGTGCCAAGATTTATCAACTCATTATACTTGAAAGGTTTTTGGAACAACAAAATACCATGAACCTATCTTGGCAGTCACTGAGCTGGTAAGCAGCTGTTTGCCACACATTTCTGACTTGTTTGCTGCCAACATATTTAATGCTTCTGCCAAAATAAGTGAATGCAAACTGGATGCTGGTCAACTCAGGTAACGTACAAGCTTATTGCTGGAAATGTAGTTGACATTGCTATTGCTGGGAGAGGTGTGTTTTGAAACAGTAACTCAAGAAAAGCATGAAGCATTGAAAAACATTGTGGCCACAACAGCAAGCATGATCTGGAGGGTTTGGCATTCTCACTATATTTTGTAGTTAGCCACCAGCATAGTTCTCAGACTGTCCTTCATCTTATGAGACCTTATTGGTTTGTATGGTTGGGTTTTCTTGATTACAATTGTCTAGGGCAAGTAATGCAAGATAGTCTTTATAACCAGTGGCAGGGAAGATTTGCCAATGGGAAGGAGTTGTTGTAGTTCAAAATATCTGGAGGTCCAAAAGATTCCCACCTCTTTTAAAACCTTAACTTGAATAAGAGGTTGGTGTGATGTACCCTACTTAGCAATGTGTGGTTTATTTTTGTATCAGCTACTCTTCTTCTCTCCTTCTTAATTTAGCTTAGACTCTCTGGTTCCTAATGTCCAGTGTCACTATAGATTTCACTTAGCTGACTGCTGTACTGACCCCTTTTTTTAAAAAAAAATGATGCTCCTCCTGTCCTAGTATTTTAAGGGTGCTTTTGTGGGATCAAATGCCACTGTTGGTACCCAGGGCAGAATGAGTTTCAATGAATCCTCTGACAGCTTTCAAGATTGCCAGGGGTAAATACCCCATCCAACTCCCAGGCTCAGTTCTTCCCCTATGTTAGGGCAATCCCCACTTATAGCAACATGGATGGGGATGTACCGTTTTCCACATTTCCTCCATATGCATCCAGGAAATGGAGAAACCTGTCTACATCAGGCATCATGGTCAATCAAATCAACAAACCTTGGTATGTTCAAGGCACAATGGGATGCTGCAGTGGGAACAACTATGCAGAATTGTGTATTTCAAGCACAGAATATGCTTGACATTTATTGGGGGTGGGGATCAGTCAGAACGTCAGACTTGAGCAAATTCAGGAACTTTGTGTATCAATAAGTCCAGTGAGTTGAACCAACAAAAGAGTTTATTGAGAACATATAGTCAGAAATTCACCAGTTAGTGTTTAAGCCAGAACTGTCCCCTCCAAGCCAAATGATATCTTAAAACCCCCAAACCTATAAATTCCTTCCAACACCCTTGGCACCAAAAGTAGCACCCACCTCCAATTCCCATGTCCATTTCCCACATCAAGCCAGCCCCCTTTTCCAAACCTTCTCACCAGTGCTATCTCTCTTCAACACAGGCATTCCACCCAACATCCTTCCTTTCAGTTACTGCCAGACACCAACTCTCCACCTCCCCCCCCCCCAGCTTACATATCCCAACTTTCTCAAAACTATCCTAGCCTGCTAGAATTATTCCCAACCCCTCATACCAGCTAACCTATTTGCTATTACTACTACCCACAATCCCCTTCCATCTATAACCTATATAATAACTATAACATTCAAATCAACAGCAATAACAAGCTGACAGAATCCATGCAAGCAGGCATGGTTCTGACACAGAATGAGCTTTGAGTTTAACCTGTGCCTTTTCCATCTACATCAAGTACATCAATGAAGGTGGATTTTAGCCATATAGGGTAGGAATGGGTAAGTCTCTTCTATGTTCCTCTGCAAATAATCATGAGTAAATGAATATATTTTCCAGGCATCCAACATATATTCATAAAATTAATCTTAGAGCATGAATTAGGTCCAGACAGAGCCTCATGCCCTTGCATCATGTTTTATGGGCCTGGGATTCTTGTTGCAGGCTTGATGCTGCAAATGGGATCTTTTCCAATAGAAAGTCCTCAATTTGAGTTATGTACTGGTGGCAGAAGGAGAAAGATAGAAAGCATTTCTTCCTGGCACAAAGACTACACTGGGGCTGAAATTCCTCAGTGTAAAAGACAGAACTACACCACACCTCCTCCCTTATAAATCCACCTTTTGTATGTTGACCACCACAGACAAAGCCTAATACTGACCAACGGAGAGCGTGGGACATCTGAGAAACATCATATTATGTTTGTATAGCCAGATATATACAAATAGGTGTGTGTGTGTGTGTGTGTGTGTGTGTGTAAAACCTTTCATGAAAGAATCCTCTGGGACCTCTCAGGGGTCCTCCATAGGTTCTAGAGGAGGATGTTATTTTCATGCATCTGCCTATATATAGGGGCACAAGCATATGTTTTTTAGATGTCCTTCATTCTCTTCCAGCCACTTTATGGCTGTGCCTGAGTGTGAAAAAAAAAATGGGTTTATAGGTTTTGGTCAGGGTGTGAGGGTGGTAAAGGATTCTGACCTCTCCAATGATTTAAAAATTGAGTTACACAGATCATGTAAATTAGACTTACATAACCTAACTCACTAATACGATGCTAGCCACTATAGTTTTTCCCCTCAAAGGCTTTTTTTGTGTGGCATGTCAAAAAATCCAGTTTTTTTGCACAAATTTAAATGTACAGGAAAAAATCCCCAAATGTTAAAAAATAGGCACAAAACCTCTCATAATCTCACCAAGTTAAAACTTTTAAAATTCTTCATGTTTGCATATGAGAAAGAAACAAAGAGAATATTTTAATCTGTAGTTTTGAGTAGATGGGGACAAATGCAAAGAGAGACCTGAACATTTCTAGCTGGAATTCAGCTAGAGCTTGGGAAAGCTCCCTGTTCTCTGGAGATCTGCTGGCTGCTGAATTACTACTCCAATTTGCTTCCAATATGACCCTCTTGTATATTACAGAATCTTGATGCCATCTTTTTAGGAAATGATTACAAACATCTTTAAAATTCAAGGGGTGATATATGATTATCTTAGTGGTAATAAACTCTCAACAGTTCTCCCATTATTTGTAGTTTTGTTTTCCCTGTTGTCAGTAAATTTCTCAAATGCTCTGACTTTAGTATAATGTAGCTGCTCTCCAGGCTGCTGGCTCTGTGTCTGTCTCAATGACTTCCAACTGCACCAGTAACTGCTCTTCCTAAATACTATCAATAGGGTCATGAAGCATACAGAATTTCAGATGATAGATTTCTTATACCCCATGGATATCTGCAGGAGGTTTTTCCTGGAAGAGGAGAGAGAAACTGGACATTGATATGTGATTATAATTCATGCAATTATAATAGTTATTAAAATGTTGTTATAATTATTGCTAAGTGGCACAACACACTTGTGCCTGTTCATTATGTGCACACATGCTTTGTTCCTTAGTGCCACATCCAATAGCATTTAGAGGTTTAATAAAAACCCTCTGAACCTGGACTCTGACAACTCTGATGAAGAGCCTAACAGGAATAATGAATTTCACCCAATTTCATTTGATGTGAGAGAGATGGGGGGGAGGAAAACTAAGAAAATAAAAACAGTGATGAACAAACAGAATATAGCTGTCTTAAGAAAGTATTAGCTATATTGTGGCCTTATCACCATTTGGCAAACTTTGCACGACTTCTCAGGAAAAGGGTCCCTCTGTTCTAGAATGATTTCTTCCATTGTGGAAAATTTGGTGAACAGTTTGTAAAGAGCAACATCTGGATCATCAGGAAAATTTTTGGGTGATATGGTGAGGGGGCAGGAGTTTCAGCTACTTTTTACAGGATTAAGCATAAAACAATTTCGCTTTACTTTGCTGATGAACCAAGCAAATATTCCTTCAGAACTGCATGTCTTGTGTCTCAACAAAAATGTCGATGAAAATGTCTACCATTTCTGTTCAGTCCAGCAGTCTAGAAAATCACACTACACTATTATAATGCTATTATTCTCCTTTAACTGCCCTGGCTACTTTCTGTGAAATTCTGGGGTTTGTAGTTTATTGAGGTCTAAGAGCTCTTTGGCTGAGAATGCTAAATGCCGCTACCTAAACTGTAAATCCTAGGATTCCACAGGAGGCAACCACACGGGTAAAGTGGAATAATAACACTATAACAATGTGCCTCCCCTATGAGAAATCTTTATGCCAGATTTGCTCTTGTGTTGTTTCTCAAGAGTAGACCTGTGCTATGATAATGTTTTACTGGTGGGGTGTAACAGCCTGCCAATGCAATTCCAGACAACTATCCCTTCCATGAGAGCCAGCCTGGTGTAGTGGTTTGAGTGCTGGGCTTCCATCTTGGAGATCAGGGTTCAATTCCCCGCTCGAGCATAAAAACCCACTGAGTGATCTTGGGCAAGTTACTGTCTCTCAGCCTCAGAGGATGGCAATGGCAAACCCTCTCTGAAGAGCTTATCAAGAAAATCCTATGATAGGTTCTCCTCAGGGTCACCATAAGTCAAAATGACTTGGAGGCACACAACAACAAATCCTTCCACTATCTAGGAAGGCAGCTTCTGAGCTATGGAGCAGGTCCCCATGGGCATTCAGGAAGAAGAAAAATCTTCATATATTCTGTTCTTACTAGCAAGAATTAATATTTTTACTATTTTTCTCTTCACTATGAGAAAGTAATTGAAAACTGCATTTGTGAAGACAATTCACTGTTTGGAAGTTATTCTGGTGGGGACCCCATGGACATGGCTTTTTAGATCAGACGCCATCATGTTTGCCATAAGAGCCAATTTTTCTGCACAGAAAATAACAATTTTATGCAAAAGAAAAAAAACTGTTTTCCATGCAGAAAATTATTTTTTTCATTTCTTTTGTACTGCATGACTAATATTTTGTTGGAATATAACCTTTTCCCACAAGAGCTAATGTTATGTCAAGTTAACCCCTTGTTTCTCAATCATTTTGGTACATTAAATTGCCACAGAAATGGCATGTTCAGCCACACAGCATATTTATCTCATGGAACTGATATGACAACATCATTCGGTGGAGTGTTTAGCAATAGCATGTCAGAAAAGTAACTGTTAGATCACCCCCAAGTGAGCTCTTTAGAAATCCTTGTTATCTTTCATCAGAGTTTTTTCATGCCTGCTGCCATCTACACAGCTTGTATTTCTAACCAATATTGAGTCATGCTTTAAAGAAAGAAAATCAAAGTTAATTAAAGTTTAAAGTCCTTTAAAGTTATGCTTTAAAGATGGAAAATGAATTGTCCCTGAACTACCAGGAGCTCAATTATTCAATGCAATGCTCACAAACAAACAAAAAGGGGCATTTTGATAGCAGTTTATTAGAACAATACTTGTTGTGCCTACCAAGTTCTAACTGATTGTGATGTGCTTTGGATGAACTCATGCCAATTGCCGCAGAGCATTTTTCATATTCAAGTGAAGAAGAAGGAGCCACCATTGAAGTGCTCTGTAACTGACAGCTCTTAGAAATGAAGACAGAGTGAAGCAGTGCATTCTGTTTCCCTTTGAATCAGCAGCCATAACTTTGTATTTAAAGGGTGTTTTGTGGATATGTGTATTTGCTGTTCTAATAGAACAGCAGGCAGCCTAATCAGAATTCTGGTCAGGAGACATCTTCAACCTTTCCCCTTTTTCTATTCTGAATTTTTGCATAAACAGAGACGGGTGACTGACACAAGTTAGTCATGTCACCTGGTAGATTTGGCTGGACTCCTTTTGAAGCATGTGTTTGTGGATTTTGTGCCAAGAGCCTATTTTCAAAAGGAATGGCATGCTATTTCAGAAGTCACTCATTCATACCAATTCTTCAGCCAAGATAGTTCAGATCAGTTTATCTCCAAGATATGGTGTTAGGGGCTGCTTGATTTCCCACTAGATCTGTTCTGACACTCAACATTCTCTATGTCCTGTCTTTGACATTACTTTCATTGATCTCAAGGAGGCTTCATCAAATTCCCACTGAGACTGGCATCATGAGCATTGTACCATGTGTGGCGATTTTGGATTTAATCACACCAGGATGTCAAGCTTCTTGTTTCTGGGGTAGGGCCTCAATTACACTATAACAGGGATGGGTAATGCATGAATCTCTAGATGTTCTTAAGACTGCAGCTCTCATCAGTTCTCTTTTTTAAAAAGAAAATTATTCTCATCAGTCTTCACCATCTGGAGAGACTCACTTTTCCTTATACAACACCAAATTTTCCTCAGAAACCCTCATAACAAGTCTTGTCTCATGCTGTATGAGCTTCCTACTGTAGGTGGGAACTCAAAGTGAGAGAGTAGCCATTTGTCTCCAAGGCACCATAATGAATTAAGGACACAGGAAGTTTACCATATACCACATCAGCTCCTTTGTTGGTCTTCCTCAGTATTTCTTACTCCCTGAACAGCAGTTCCCTCCAGAGTTTCAGGAAGAAATCTTTTGATCACTATCTGATCTTTTTTTAAAGGAGGAAACCAGAGACTGAACCTGGAACTTTTGGTATATTAGTAGTGTCCCAAAGACCATTGGTACATTGCACTCATATAATGTCCATTATACTATGGTCAAACTTTTACCTAGGTCATGTTGCAGACATAAAGTTAGTCAAAGTTGTCACCTTCACTGTTGAGAGAAAAGGCTTCTGGCTGCAAGCAGCCTATTTCTCCTAGTCCTGGCTTCTGGAGGAGTCCTCACAGGGAGGGAAAAAAATATCCTGGAAGTGTGTTCTGGTTTTGAAAAATGCATACTTTTGATAGTCAGCCATGCCGGTAGATGGTACAACCATTTAAAAAAATGAACGGATGTTCCTGGAGTCTTGTAGAAGAAGCCATTCATCTCCTCCCCCACCTTCCCCCCCAGGAATTTAGAAAAGATTGGTAGCTGCAAAAACAGCCTGGAAGAGAGGGGAGGCATGTAGCCACAGAGACATAGGGGGGTTGCAGACTGCCAGAAATAGTGCAAATTGAGTCCACTTTTAGGGTTAGGGTTAGTGCTAGGGAATCATGGGAACTGTATTTTATTGTGGCACCAGAGCTCTCTGACAGAGAAGGCTCAATGTCTCAGAAAAAAACCAATTCCCATGATTCCCTAGCACTAACCCTAACCCTAAAAGTGGACTCAATTTGCACTATTTCAGGCAGTCTGCAACCCCCATAGTTTGCCCCTGTCCTAGAGGTTCCTTGTGGGGCCAAAGTTCTTCTTCTGTGTTGTAAATTCACATGAAAGTTACTGGAAACATCTTCATGATTTTATTCCTAAAGCCTATGTTGTTAAGGTTGAGTGGGCAAATGCATACAATACACTTATCACATACCAATATAGTAGACTGTTGGTTGTACAGAAACACCAGTATGAACTGTATGTGCTGTGTATGCTGAAATGTGCACGGTTTAGTGATTGACAAGCCTATCTAATAATGCTAAGGCATGTTTTACTAGGGATGTTTTAGTCACTGTGCTATGGAGAGACATTGTAACTTTGATATCTGCTTCTTCCTTTCTAACACTAGCAAGGTTCACTAAAAAGTGTGGATATGGTTAAATGAGGAAATCAGCAAAACCTATAAGACTTTCTCCCAGTTTTCCTCTACCATTCACTCACTCCCAAAAGTAAAGTTATTTCAAAAGCTATATTAGGATGAGAACTATGTGGCCCTCTAAATGTTGCTAGACTGTGCATCTCAACAGCCCTAACTAGGATAGTCAGCACTGCTAGGAGTTGATTTCAATGAGCCTTTTGACAAGGTTCCTCATGATATTCTTACAGGCAAGCTGATGAACTGTGGGCTACACAATATTACAATTACGTGGATCTGTAATTGTTTGACAGACAGAACCCAGAGAGTATTCACCAATGGTAGCTCTTAATCTTGGAGAGAAGTGACTAGTGGGATGTCTCACAGTTCTGGCCTGGGCCCAGCATGGTTTATCATCTTCATACATGTTGTAGATGGAATAGAAGGCATGCCTATCCAATCTGCAGATGACAACAAAGTAGGAGGAGTAGCTAATAACCCAGAGGAAAGGAACAAGGCTCAAAAGGACCTTGGCAGAAACCTGAGCCCAAACTAACAAAATGCTTGTCAAGAGAGATAAATATAAAACACTACATCTGAGCAGGAAAAAAAATGAAATTGACAAATATAGGATGGGTGACCCCTAGCATGAAAGCAATACATGTGAAAAGGATCTAGGAGTCTTAGTAAATCACAAACTAAACATTAGTTAACAGTGGCCAAAAAAAAAAGCCAATGCAATTGTGGAGTGTAGTGTGGGGTGTACTGATTGAGGGAACAGGCAGAGGTAGCTGTGTTGGCCATTTAGCAAATTCAAACAAAAATCCACCAAACAGTGATACTTTTATTGGCCAACAAAAATGCAAAATATACTTGTTGCAAGCTTTCAAAGCTCCACTGGGTTCTTCATCAGGCAAGATGTTATAAACCAAACAGGAGAAAAAATTGGAAATGTTAGTTAGATGCCTGAATGTTGATGATTATGTCAAGATCATGTGACAACCTGGTCCGGAAAATGATATGGATGTGGCCACTGAAGGGAACTGGAGCAATGGTAACAGGGTTACTACAGTTCAAGTGGCAGGTGCATGAGTCAGCATTTGGTAAGCTGTGCATCACAGGTGACCTGATGCAACATGTACATTGAATGAGGCAAGCCAGGTATGCATCATGGGAGATCTGATGCAACAAGTACTGTGAATGAAACCAGCAAGGTTTCATTGGTGCATGGCTGTCACATGTTCTCAAGAGGACCACCTATATATGGGAGAGAGTCAGAATCTCCATTGTTGATTAGTTGTGGTTGGTGGTTGGTGAAGCACTTTGTTGGTCTGCATAACTGTAAGTATTCAAGATGGACGTCTAATACTCTGTGTATCTTTGTAAATATTTGAACAAAGATTAAAGCCCTCATTGAGTGAAGTCTCGCTATTCAGCTATTCATTTCTTCAAGCTGAAAGAAGCAGCTGCGTGTGGGAGGATTTTTCCTTTGCCATCTGGAGCAAGATTCTTCACAGAAGACTATCTTCTGGGCTTTCCTACCCATGTGCTTCAACTTTGTGTGTGTGTATGCTAGATTCTACCTGTCTGCATACCCCAAGAGATTAGTCAGATGCCTGCATTTTGATGTATTAGGGGCTTTGCTGACCAGCCTAAAGGGCCAGCCTGGGGGTGGAGTTGGGGTGGGGCAGCCACATGCTGGCCACCCTGATTCCACTCTCACCTTGTCCTGATGCCACAAGCCCATTTGTATGGCATGCGGCATCAGGATGCTCTCTTGCCACAGTGTGAACACACACTGTGCCAAAACGGTGCAAAAAAGCTGCCACCGCAGTTGAAAGGGCAG